TATATATATATATATATATATATATAAACAAAACAACCTTAAACTTGAATGATGATATGAAATTTTGCCTTGGGTTAAAATACTGAAAATGACTAATACTAAACTAAATAAAACACAGTAAAAATACAAATATATTTCTTTAAAGTTATAAATAAAATGCAGTTTTATAATACTAAATAAAACACACAAACATAAAAAAAAAAAACGAATCTAATAATGAAAATCATAAAACTTAACCAAAGCCTAAACTAAAATGAAAACTGAAAATCTAAAAATAACTTCAGGACATTAATAAATACTATAATGGTACTTAAATACTAAACTAACACTGTCCTGATCATATTTGACCCCAAACTCAATCTAAATAAAATGGCAAAAGCCCCCCAAAATTACCAAACGTTCAATTAAAATTAAAGTGAAATTACAATTAATTACAAGTCTTAAAATATTTAGACTAAGTATCACAAACTATATATATATATTAATTATAACTATAGCGGCAGCCAGTACCCGCTAAGGGGCTAAGTAGTGGGAATACATCCATGACGCGTTTCGATCGCAAAAGGTTTTAATTACAATATAGAAATGAACAGCAACAAGTTGCATGAAGACGGTAAGATAGAAAACAAAAGATAAACAAAATTAAATTAAATAAACAAAGTGAAACGGTCAACAGAAAGTGAGCGTCCCAGCTACTCACCCCCTTCCTCCATGATATCCACATCCAAACTAACAGGTAATATGCACCTATACAAAATGACGTAACAAACTGGAAGTGACAATTTCAAAATAAAAGACATCAAACCGTATCTGGCACCTACAATAACCATATATTAAATGTGTTATTAATATGATACATTTTAAATGTTTATTTATTTATTTATTTTGATAAATATATTATACTAAGTATAAGTATTTTAGAAGTCTTAAAATATATTTAAAATATTACGTTTTTTTAAGTGTTGTTGAACTTGTGAAAACGAGCATGCAAACGGTTTTAATAAGTGTTTGTCCATGTGTGGAAATGTTGCTGTGTAAATCCCTTCTGGTTCTTTTCATTCTTCTGAAACGACCTCCACAAAATAAATGCAATGGAAAACCAGTATTTCCCTTAGGTACAGTACTGCAACAAAACAGTGTGTGAAATTTTCTGCCGCTGTGCAAAGTGTGTGAATAGTTATTTAAGTATATATTTTTTTAATTCATACTTTTTTTATTTCAGGTTTTAATCAACTTGTTTTAAAGTGTGGACATTTTTTTTAAATGTTGAAAAAATGATGCAATCTCAGCTTTTGATTTATTTTAAGGAGGTAGAGATTTTTCTTCTTTCTGGATTTTGCCGCCTCCCGTCTTTGTTGTCCATTTTTCTGTTTGGCTCTCCCCACCGAGTCTAGCATTTTTGTCATTTTCCGAACAGTTGCCTTATAGATGGCCCTGAACAGACTCTCATGCTAACACGCACCCTTCAAAGAAAGAGGAAAGGTACCCGAGAGCTCTTGGTGGTGGATGAGTTTCCCTCTCCCTAGCAAATCCTCATCTGTTCCCTGTTAACGTGTGTGTTTTCTTTACGAAATCTCTTGTTTCACTTGCTTATTCATGCTGCCTCAGCACTCTTGCTTTCACACACTGGGATACACTCAGGTAAAACCTTCTCTTGGCTGTCACGGTTTTTGTTTTGTGTGTGTGTGGAGGCAGGTATGAGGGATGTTTTCTAGCTGACAACAGTTGATAAAGGTTTTTGTGTCTTTTGTTTAATCATCTCAACAGGGAGAAATACACTTTGGAACAAGACATCAGAGAAACAGAGGAAGCCATCAGACACAAAACCACAGAGGTTCAGGTAAACCTGGCAGTGGAATTATTAGTTGTTGTTATTATTATTATTATTAATAATATTATAATATTTATATATTTATAATTTTAAAATATACTTAATGTTATGGATTTATTTAAAAGCAATTGTCTTATAATTTATGAATATTGTTAACAATTTTAGTTTTTTAAATAAATGATATATTAAAGAAAATTAGGTAAAATATTTGTTTAACATTTAAAAGTAAGTATATTTTAATATATTGCATGTTGTATCATTTATAATTACCAATATAATTATAAAATATACTGATTATTAGTAGTATTATTAATATTTAAAAATTATTTTGTAAATATATTTAATATACTTATTTTGTTGTTATTTGTTAAAGTTGTATTAAATATAAAATACATTTAGTATTTTAGTATAAAACAAAAAATAAAATCAAATATAGTTATACTTGCATATAATGTAGTTTATTTTTATTATATTCTAAGATAAATATATTAATATTCTTAAGTATTAACATTTAGAAGTAAATGTATTTTAATATATTATTATAAATTATATTGACATTTAATTCTTTAAATTATAAATTATTCTTAGTGTTATTAATATTTAAAAGTAAATACATTTCTAAAGAATTTAATATAAATATAATTGAACTAGTATTTTTACTATTGTTATGAAAGTATACATTATAAAATATATTTAAAGAGTTATTAATATAATAATTGAAAAATATTTTACTTGGGTTATTGTTCTGTGAAAATATATTTGAATTCGTATTAATAGGTTTTTTTTTTTTGTAGTATTTTATTCTTAGTTATAAATATATGTGAAAAGTAGTACTAATATAATAAATTATTTTAAAGTATCTGTTTTTTTTTTAATGCACAGGTTATATGTTGGCTTCATTATCAACTGAATTTGCTTTGATTGACAGGAGATGCAGAACGATCTGGACCGAGAGACGTCCACCCTCCAGGAGCTCGAGGCGCAGAAGCAGGATGCTCAGGACCGGCTGGAAGAAATGGACCAGCAGAAGGCAAAGCTGGAAGACATGCTTAATGACGTACGGCAGAAGTGCCAGGAAGAGTCGCAAATGGTGAGTGAAAACCTTGAGAAGACTTGAGAGGATTACGGGAGCCTCAGTGACGATAAACATTCAACACATCCGATCTGTTTCTATTCAGATCTCATCCCTACAGTCCCAGATCTACTCGCAGGAGTCAGACCTGCAGAGCCAAGAGGAAGAGCTGGGCCGGGCCAAGGCTGACCTGAACCATCTGCAGCAGGAGGAAGCTCAGCTAGAGCAGAGTCTACAAGCTGGCAGGATTCAGCTAGAAACCATCATTAAGTCCCTCAAAGCCACACAGGATGAGATCAACCAGGTGGTGCCTTCAGAGCAGTTTCTATTCCAACCACTAGGGGGTGACAACACCTAAAGATGTCCTAATTTCAAATGCGTTCATGCAAATATGACATTAGAAGGCAGACACCAGAAACTGTTGTCTAATAATGCCAGAAAAAAAAAGAAAATGTGCTAAGCGTTGAAGTATGTAACGGATCGAGCTGATGTGTGTGTGTTGCAGGCTCGGAGCAAACTCTCCCAGATCCAGGACAGCCAACACGAGATCAGTAAGAGCATCGAGCAGTACAGCAGCACCCTGAACGGAACCCATGGGGGCAGCATGACCAACCTAGCCGACATGAGCGAAGGCTTTCCAGAGAAGGAGAACGGTGGTTTCGGGGCTATGGTGAGACATTTTAGGTTGTATTTTAAAGAACCTATTCATTGCCATTAAAGTGAAATTACTGAACCTACACACAGAAGAACACATGATAAAAATGCTCATTTTAGAAGAACATTTCAGATGGCACTTAGAGGCTTTTGCAT